TACCGAGACCCCACATGGAAACCATCTGAGACGACCCACACTCAGGGATCGTTCCACTCGCACGGCCATCATACCTCCATTCCTCACACTTCTGTCGCTACCCCAGGCATTCATGTTCCGGTCGGTCAACCAACGCCGCCAATGCCGGCTGGCGCCCACCGACATCCATTTACGCCAAATATTATGCAATCTGCACTTCTTGACCATTGGAAGTCCTTGCCCCTTGACAAGTACGATGGCACCACCGACCCCGATGAACACGTAGACGTGTTCTTAACTCAAGTTACTCTGAGCACAACCGATGATGCCGCCTTGTGCCGAATCTTCCCAACATCGTTAAAAGGGCGAGCGCTGAGCTGGTTTACTCGGCTTCCAGCTAACTCGATTGACTCGTTCAGCACGTTAGCTTGCCAGTTCACCATCCAATTCGCTACAATTCGGCCTCACCAGTTGACCTCTTTGGCGCTGGTCAGCATCCGTCACGAGAAAAATGAGTCCCTTCGGGCGTTCATAAGCCGATTCAACAAAGCGGGGCTTGAAATCCGAGACTTGAACCCTGTAGTGGCTCTGCATCACCTTACCACCGCCTTGAAACCGGGGCCTTTTGCCAACAACATTTGTAAGAATCCCCCTACCGACATGGATGATTTGCGTCGGCGAGCCGACAAATACATGCAGATGGAAGAATTAGCCGAGTTCCATAACCAGGCCCTAGCGGAGGTGTCGGCAAAGCCTGAAAAGCCGACTGAAAACAATTTTCGAAGCCGTCTGAAAGAACTGGTACCCCGCGAGAGGCCCCCTCGTGGCCCGAAGTATTCCCATTATACACCACTCAACACCAGCAGGTCGGCAATACTAGAACAAGCACTCGCTTCGGAAGTACTAGCCATCCCAAAACGAGCGTCGACCCCTCCCCGGGCCGATACGACCAAATCTTGCAGGTATCATCGCAATCGCGGACATTCAACTGACGAATGTTCGGCCCTGAAAGATAAGATTGAAGACTTGATCAAGCAAGGACAGTTGCAAGGCTTCGTGGACCGACCGAACTCTTCGAAATACTCCAACCAGTCGCGGCGGTATGATCAGCCCGAACAAAGAAGGACAGAAGCATGCTCGTACAGTGAACGCAATCGATCAAGAGATCGAAGAGAGGAAGAGCCTTCGGCACAGCCTCGGCGAGTCATCAACACGATAGCAGGAGGATTCGCTGGCGGAGGTTCATCCTCATCAGCCCAACGCAGACACTTACGAGCTGTTCGGCACGTGCATGCAGTGGAGACAGTTCGTCGTCGCCTTCCCACCATCACTTTCACCGAGGACGACTTCAAAGGCATCGACCCGGACCAGGATGATCTGATGGTAATCAGTGTCAAAATTCATAACTGCATTGTACGAAAGACGTTGGTTGATCAGGGAAGTTCAGCCGACATTCTTTATTGGAACACGTTCAAACAGCTGGGTATTCCGGAGTCTAAGTTAGTTCCTTATGATGAACCTTTGGTCGGGTTCTCCGGTGAACGAGTCAAGACAAAAGGATATATCAAGTTGTCAACTCAGTTCGGGTTTGAAGGAATTTAGTACCGAGACATTTCGGTTAAGTATGTGGTGGTGCACGCCAGCACATCTTATAACATTCTGCTCAGCCGGGCATCCCTGAATCGGCTCGGCACAATCGTATCCACCCCTCATTTAGCCATGAAGTTTCTGGCTGAATCAGGGCGAATAGTCACTGTCCATGCTGACCAAAAAACTGCGTGAGAATGTTATTTTACCAGCTTGCGATTGCCGAAAATGAAGAACGAAGCACCGAATGAACCGAGAGGGGTGCACTCGGTATCACAGCAATCGGCCATGGACCTCGATCCTCGGATCGATCAAGATGAGAGGGTGGAGCCCATTGAAGATAAACAATCATTCCAGGTGGGAGTGTCCGAATTCCAAGTCACTCACTTAGGAGCTAATTTGTCTGAAGAAAAACAGTTGGCTATTAAACAAGTAGTCCTCGAAAACAATGACTTGTTTGCTTGGCACCCGTCTGACATGCCCGGCATCGACCCCAATTTCCTTTGTCACAAACTCTCCATCAGTAAGGAGGCTAAGCTGATTGCTCAGCGGCACCGAAAGACCGGGGAAGAAAGAAAAGCTGCAATTGAAGTAGAAGTGGGCAAGTTGTTAGACGCTCGGTTTATCCGAGAAGTGCACTATACGACCTGGTTGGCCAATGTCGTCATGGTCAGAAAACCGAATGGAAAGTGGCGCATGTGCACCGATTAAACTAACTTGAATAAAGCCTGTCCTAAGGACGCCTACCCGCTACCAAACATCGATCGGCTCGTCGATGGGGCATCCGGCCACAAATTTTTGTCTTTCCTAGACGCATACTCTGGATACAATGAGATCCGGATGCATCCCCAAGATGAAGAAAAAATTGCCTTCATCACCGAAACGGCCAACTACTGTTACCGAGTGATGCCGTTCGTATTAAAGAATGCCGGTGCTACCTATCAGCGTTTGATGAACAAAATCTTTCACGATCAGATTCCCCGGAGCATGGAGGTGTATGTGGATGATATGGTAGTGAAGTCGAGCGATGTGTCGGCGCATACACGCGACTTGACCGAGGTATTCTAGGTGCTTCGGTGACACCAAATGAGACTTAACCCCGAGAAATGCGTATTTGGAGTCTCGGGCGGCAAGTTTTTGGGGTTTATGGTTTCCAACCGGGGCATTGAGGCAAACCCAGATAAATGCCAGGCCATCCTGGATATGAAAAGCCCAGCCACATTAAAGGAGGTTCAGAAGTTAGCCAGACGGCTTACCTCGCTGTCCCGATTTCTCCCTTGCTTAGCCGAGATAGCTAAGCCGATTCTACTTCTGCTCAAGAAAACATAACGATTCAAGTGGACCCAGGAGTGTGAAGATTCTTTTTAGCAGTTTAAAAAACGGCTTTGCACGCCTCCAATTTTGTCTAAACCGGTCAGTGGCCTAGCCATGGTCGTCTACCTGTCAGTTTCGAGCAGTGCAGTCAGTGCCGTCATAATACAAGAGAACCAGGAAGGTCAACAACCCATCTATTTTATCAGGCGGACGCTGCAAGATGCCGAGCGACGTTATCAACTGTTGGAAAAAGTTCCCTTAGGGCTCATCTATATCGCTCGGCGATTGAGACAATACTTTCAAAGCCATAAGATCGTAGTCAGAACCGACTATCCGGTTCCAAAGGTCCTCCGGAAACCAGAAATCGCCGGCCGGATGATGGCATGGTCGATTGAGCTCTCAAAATTTGACATATCTTTCGAGCCAAGAGGGCCGATCAAGTCACAACATTTGGCCGATTTTGTTAACGAGCTCACTCCTCTAGGATGTTTTGAGGACGAACCTTGGACCATGCATGTTGATGGATCCTCTAAATCCCAAGGTAGCGGGGCTGGCATAATTATGGCTAGCCCTTCAGGAATCACAGTTGAGCAATCCCTTCAGTTCGGCTTCCGTGCATCAAACAATCAGGCCGAATACGAAGCCTTGATAGCAGGGATGAGACTAGCAACTGAAATGGGCGTCAAGAAAATCATATGCTGGACCGATTTGAAGATCGTGGCTGAACAAGTCAATGACAACTTCCAGGTCAAGGACTCCAATCTGCTGCAATATTACCACCTCTTCCAGAAGCCCAGGGACAACTTCACCGAGGTGCAGGTTCGCCATGTATTGCGTGCCAACAATGAACGAGCCGATTAGTTAGCTCGGCTCGCCAGTAGCCGGAAGCCAGGACAGTTGCGAACAACCATTCACCTTGAGATTCCCTCTCCAAGTGTGACGGTTGAGTGTATGTCAACTGATACCGAGACACTGACCTGGATGACTGCCATTCGGAACCTTATCGACCGAGGGGAGTTACCAGCCGACCCAATGGAGGCAAAAAAGATACGAAGACAAGCGGCTCGGTACTCCATGATCTCCAATGAGCTCTACAGGCGAGGATTCTCCACCCCGCTACTCAAATGTATCGACACTCACCAAGCCGACTACATAATAAGGGAAATACACGAAGGTATCTGTGGCTCCCACTCAGGTGGAAGAACTCTCGCAGCCAAAGTCTTGCGTGTCGGCTACTATTGGCCAACTTTGAAAGGAGATTGCGCCGAGTTTGTCAAGAAGTGCGTACAATGTCAAAAGCATGGAAACATCATACACGCTTCGGCCACAGAGTTGCACAGTATCAACTCCCCATGGCCGTTTACTTTATGGGGTATAGACGTGCTGGGACCATTCCCTGTGGCAAAGGGGCAAGTTAAATTCCTTCTCGTTGCGGTGGATTACTTTACAAAATGGATAGAAGTTGAACCACTGGCCTGCATCTCCGCTGCTAATGTTCAGAAGTTTGTTTGGAAAAATCTGGTTACCCGCTTCGGCATCCCGTACGCCATTGTTTCAGACAATGGTATCCAATTCACCGACAAAAAGTTCAACATTTTCCTCGAAAACCTTGGCATTCGGCATCGGTTCACCTCAGTCGAGCATCCGCAGTCAAACGGGCAAGCCGAAGCAGCCAACAAGGTTATACTCGCTGAGCTCAAAAAGAGACTCGGCTCGGCCAAAGGAGCATGGGCCAAAGAGTTACCGGAAGTTCTTTGGGCATACCGCTGCACACCACAGTCAACCACCAAAGAGACGCCTTTTCGACTAACATACGGCGCGGACGCGATGATCCCGGTTGAAGTGGGAGAACTGTCCTTTAGACAACAACATTTCCATGAAGACTCTAATGACAGCTCACTTCGGGCCGAACTCGATGTTCTCGATGAACTACGAGAGAAGACACAGGTAGTGGCGGAAGCATGCAAACAACGCAAGACCCGCCGCTTTAATTCCAACTTAAAGCCAAGGACATTCCATGAAGGTGATCTCGTATGGAGAGCAACCGATTCGGCGAGGCGCAACTCTTCTGATGGAAAGCTCGCAGCCAATTGGGACGGCCCGTTCCGGATAAGGCATGCCCTACACAATGGAGCGTACAAGTTAGAGGAACTGTCCGACAAGATTATCCCTCGGACATGGAATTCTACTCATTTGAAGACCTATTACAGTTAGAATTTAACTCATGTCCCTCTGAAAATGTATAATGATGCACTCTTTTCCTTGAACCGGTCTTTTGTCCTCTTAAAAAATTGTGAAAAGAGGTTTTGGCCGGCAAGGTTTTTAATGAGGCATCCATTCAATCAATACCAAGATAGTTCAATCATCTATGACTTACTTTAAATTCCTGCAATTTTATTTCCAATCACAAGTCTTCCCTCCCGAGATCTCTCTCGGCCAAGGATGCGGCTATAATTATTTAATAAGTCTTCCCTCCCGAGATCTCTCTCGGTCAAGGATGCGGATTTAATTTAACAAGTCTTCCCTCCCGAGATCTCTCTCGGCCAAGGGTGCGGCTTTAATTATTTAACAAGTCTTCCCTCCCGAGATCTCTCTCGGCCAAGGATGCGGCTTTAATTATTTAGGGAGTCTTCCCTCCCGGGATCCCTCTCGGCCAAGTGCACTGGTATGACAACAAACAAGATTCAGATTCATTGATAAAGGCACTATCGGCCTAAAAGGATACATTAAAAAAGGGGGCACTATCGGCCCAACGTTACAAAAAACAAGAAAAAACCTTAAGACCTAACCTTCGAGTCCCCCTGAACCGGACCATCCTCCGGCGCACCATCCTCGTACGCCGTCACCTCCTCATTCAGCCCAGCTGGCCGTGCCGGGGCCTCCTCATCGGCTTGTTGGTCAGGAGGGATAGAAGGCAGGTCCACCAACATCGCCTGGAAGAAGTCCGTGGTCATGTCCAGGTGAAATTCAGGGGGGAAGTCGCCGAAGAAGCATGCTTGTCGGGCGGCCTGCGCAAAGCCAGCCTGATGTTGAGTTAAAACCTTGTTGTGCGCTTTCTCCTGGTAAGCCCCGAAAGCAATCCTCTCAGCCTCCAGCTCTTTGCTCAGAACAACAACCTTCTCTGTCTCGCTTTTCGAAGCAAGTTCAAGACGCTGAACCTTTAGAGCCAGGTCATCAGCCGTTCGACCCCGGCGATCCACCTCGGCCTGGTATTTGGTGTTGGCCGTTTGGGCATCAGTAAGCGCTGCCAGCGTCTCTCGAAGAGACTTCTCCTGCTCGGCCAGCTGCCGATGCAACCCATCGGCCTCGCCATTCGGCTCCATCACGATGCTTTGGGCTAAGGCCACAACACGCACTTGGAATTCACAGAAGAAGCTCCATTTCTGAGCCGAGGTCATATGACTCAGCACCCCCTGACCCGATTCAGAGGTCAAGTCTTGGCTAAGAAAATCCTGAGCGTTGACATTGCCGGCCAGAAAACTCGGTCCAGCCAAGCTTTCCGGAACAGGTAAACTCGCCACTCGACGCTGCTTGGCCCGGCGGCTCTCTTCCTCGGCCCTGGGGTCAGGCCTTCTTTTTTCAGGCTGGGGCCGAGTGGGTTTTTTCGACTTGACTGTTGGCCCCGCTCCACTACCTTGGGCAGACGGTTGACCCGAGCCTTGACCCCTGTAGTGGCTCTGCATCACCTTACCCCCGCCTTG